AATATATACAATTTATTTATTTAATTAAAAAATTCACTGAAATATTCACATAAATTTGATTAACTTCCTGCTTTGTTTATTAAAAGCATTCGCATAGAAATAATGTCTAGTCACATTTAATTTATGTAGTAATCTCTTTAATCTCCTGCTAATAAACCGCTCATTTATTACGATTCGACAAGCTCAGCTCTTTTCATTGTTATTTCTCTTACTTTAAATCAGGCCTAATTTAATTTATTGTATTGCAATTCTCATCGAATCTCGATTTGAAGAGCATCAAGTGGCAGAGTCTGTAAACGATTCGCTGCAAGCACTTATATATTGTTTATTTGTGTTTTATCTGGGAAATCGTGTGCATGCACATCTGACAACGTCGACGTCGACGACGACGACGACGCGCAGCCTCTCAACGGCAATCAAAGCAGCGGCAACAATGCCAAGAGAGCCCATGCTAACAGCTACAATTGCAATGTAAATCGCTTCGGAATGTCAGTCGACACGTATAGAGATACTATATGTGTATGCATTTATCTGTTTATATACATATATGTATGTAAGAGTGCAGATCATATATAAGACGCCAGAGATTTGGTTGCACGTCAACGAGGCGCTCTGAACCTCTTAGCTTTGACTGACCCGTCACGTTTACATAAATGTGTTGTTGTTGTTGTTGTGATCGTTGGCGAAATGTAGCCGACCTATATATGTATATATATGTATATATATATATATATGTATGTATATATATACTTTTCTATTTCATCTGCAGTTTTTCCCCCTATTGCCTTTAAAAAGTAATTTCGATCGCGTTTGCTGTTGTTTATCGGCTTGGCATCAGAGACCCTACAGCTAAAAGGTTAACTGGGCTAAGCGAAAGCCTAGCCTGAGATGTGTAACAGTTGGCCAACAGCAGTGGCAGCAGCAGCAACAGCTGTTAATGCTCTAAGGGCCTATTAAATCACTTTCCAAAACACGTTCGTTGCCTAAGTCTTTTATTTTGGAGCTGCATTCTTCTCGCAGCGAACGTAACATGTCTAATTGCTGTGATCTTGGCCCGACGTCTTAGCCATTCTTGTCGGCCAATGCTAAAGCTATTAACACTCTTTTCATTTGAAATCTTTAAAATCAAGCGATCGTAAAACAACAGCTAAACGAATCTTTAATGTCAGCTCTTATAAATTATGTAAAAGCTCATTATATATATATTTTTTTTTGTTTTTTTTTTTATTTTTGTTTTTTTTTGTTTTACAATTGCTTTTTGGCATTATGAAGTTGAAGTTTCTTTTCATAGCCCAACAGGTTTCGTTAGATTTTGAAGGACATGCGCACAGTCCAGTTACAAAGTCGACGCCCAGTTTGGCGTTAGCGGAATCGCTCGACTGACTTTACAAGCTCACTATCATTGGCAGCCAGGCTGAGCGCTTTGCGCCACAGCTGCCTCGGCTAATTGGCCCACATGTGCCGCATGGCGTATACGCAGCATGCGCGTCGAGTGTTAAATATGTGGCCAGTTGGACTTGGTGGTTCGTTGAGTTGCTCATGAAGCATGTCGCCATGTTGACAATCGACGAATTGGTCGCCGACCACTTGGCAGTTAGCATTGAGGGCAGTTGGCTTATAAGCCACTCGATCTGTGAAAACCAGTTGATCGCTCAGCCAAGATCAACAATAATTATAGTGCACTTGGTTAACGCCATTTACGCCACGACGAGGACATTAATTATAATTCTAACCAATTCTTGTTCGTAGCTCTAGCGATAAAATGTCGACAAAACCTAAGTTTAATTTCGAGAAGGAGGGCACCCTGACGATCGGACATGTCGACGAGAACGAGGTCGATCGCGTGGCCGAGAGCTTCAAAGGACGCAGTCTGTTCATTACGGGCGGCACGGGCTTTCTGGGCAAGGTGCTGGTGGAGAAGCTATTGCGGTGAGTACAACGGGGAGCTAACGAAAATATGTCTCAGTTTATTTATTTGTATATGTATATAAACTTTAATAGACACACCTGCTTGACCTGAGTCTTGGGATTCACATTTACCTTTAGTTGAGCACAAAGCAAAGTCTAGCAAATAAATATGATCTAATACACACAAAAACTTAAAATTTCTAGGGAAAAACATGTGAGTTTAAGTACCAAAGACTTAAATACTCTGATACCGATCGTTGCCATAAAATCGATCAATGCACCATGAGAGGTGAATATAGTTAAAATATGCAATGCATGTTTGGTTATTAAGATCTATTGAAAGATAAAAATTGTAAAACGGAAAAACGTTTTCAAGGTAGCATTGCTAAGTTTCGTAAGTCAGCTAGATAAACACAATTTATGATCGATTAGTTCAATCACCGATTGATGCCAATATTCAAGTCGACTAAACGCTTATGATCTAAAGACATTAAAAAATAAAAATTAAAAAAAACCTGTAGTGAGTTAAAACATAAAACACTTCTGCATGGCACCGATGCTGAAATACTCTAGAAAACTTCTAATATTCTAGATATTCATTTGGGTTTATACTAAGTGCCATTTGCCGAAACTTTGAATGTATATTTCATTTGTGTAACTTTTCTTCTGTATTATCAGTTAATCAACATGTTTTCCACATTGCACAACAAAAACAATATGCCCACAGTTAGGGTATACAAATGATATAAACTGCAAGTTAATATAGCTCGTATCTTAGGCTAGGTTTAGACTATAAAAGCTGCGTGCTTTAACCTAGAATAAAAAACTAGCCGTTGCATAATAAGCAGCATGTCTAATAAATTAAATTTGGCTAAAAGTGGGCGGGTGGGTTAGCTGGTTGGCTGCGTTGGCTAACAGCTGCCGTAGCAACAGCCACAGCCGGCACACGTGACCTCAATAATTCTCAATAAACGGAGATTATGCGTTATTAATTTTTGCAGCTCGTGTGGTGGGCTAAAGCGCATTTACTTGCTCATTCGTCCCAAGAAGGGCAAGGATTCGCAGGAGCGCATTAAGGATATATTCCAGAATGTGGTAAGGCAAAATGACTAATGAATCTGAATTAATGAAACTGGATGCGAGGCTAATGCAACCCTATCAATTGGCCAGCTTTTCGACCAGGTGAAGCAGATGCGCGGCGAACAGCACATCTTGAACCAGGTGGTGGCCATAGCCGGAGATGTGATGCTGCCCGGCCTGGGCATCTCTGAGAAGGATTTGGAAACGCTGCGCAACGAAGTGTCCATTGTGTATCACTGCGCAGCTACGGTGCGGTAGGCATATGGATATATTCCCCCTGCAGACCTTTTCTTAACTGCTCTCCTTCCTATTCCATCTCAGCTTCGATGAGCCCTTGCGCAATGCCGTCTTCATGAATACCCGTGGCACCAAGTACATGCTGGAGCTGGCTGGCACTCTGAAGCATTTGGATTTCTTTGCCTACTGCTCGACGGCCTATTGTCATTTGCATGTGAAGACTTTGTATGAGAAGCCGTATGATCCGCCGGCGAATCCTCACCAAGTGATTCAGGCGTGCGAGTGGCTAACCGACGAGGAGGTGTCGCTCATCGAGCGTAAGATTTTGGGTGATATACCCAACACTTATGCGTATACCAAGTCCCTGGCCGAGGCCTTGGTTGTGGAGAAATTCAGCGAATTGCCAGCTGTTATTTTACGTCCATCGATTGTCATACCCATTTGGAAGGAGCCCATTCCTGGTTGGACCGACAATATCAACGGACCCACGGGACTACTGATTGGCGCCGGCAAAGGTGTCATACGCACCATGTACTGCAACTCCTCTGGCTATGGTGACTTCTTGCCCGTCGATGTGGCTGTCAATGGCATTTTGGTTGCCAGTTGGCGCAACATTACGGCCGGCACGGATCACACGAATCGTGTTGCCCACATGACCTCCTCGAATGACATTAAAGTCTCCTGGGCAGAGATTATTGAGCTGGGTCGTTGGGTTATCGAGAACAAGGTGCCGTTGAATGGCGTGGCTTGGTATCCAGGTGGCTCCATGAAGTCGAACTACTACATTCATTACATCTGCATGATTCTCTTCCAATGGCTGCCAGCTCTGTTTGTGGATGCGTTGCTCTTGCTTTTCCGATATCCGCCTGTGTAAGTGGACAATATCAAGTATAGCTAGGCTAATTAAAATTTCATTTTATTGAATCCCTAGTCTCTGTCGGGTCCAGAATCGCATTACAAAGGGGTTTGAAGTGTTTGAGTACTATGCGAACAACGTTTGGAGCTTTGATAATTCAGAAGCAGTAAAATTACGAAAGTTAATGAATAATAAGGAACGCAAAACATACGTCATTGAGAAGATTGATCTGGATTTGATAGACTATTTCACCAATTGCGTTCTCTGTGCTCGTCGCTTAATACTGAAAGAATCGGATGAATCGATACCCGCGGCCAAGCGACATATGAAAATGTAATTTATCAAATTTTATTATGAGCGTCATTTATAATTTTTAACTTTGCTTTCAGCATGTGGTTTGTGGACAAGCTGTTCAAGTGCATGTGGCTCTTTGGCATCCTATATATGCTCTATAGATGTTTCTTCGCCAGCTAAACTCAGTTTCACATTAAGTTTAGTTAAGTGCTGGAGACCAAAACCAAGACCGATTGTTACTTTTTGTATGCCTATAAGTTGTTTAGCTTTAGTTGGTGCTGTTTAGCTGTTTAGTAATAAGTTTTTGAATGGAGAAAATAAAACATTGAGATATCAAATCAAAAAAACACACACTTGAAATTTGGCGCCTTCGATATGGATATTTAGCCAGAGGTGCTTATCGATAAGTATCTGAGTGCAGCCCACCAACAGTTGGAGTTCGATATATCGATAGCGGCAGTTGGTCTAGCTATCGCATGTAGATATTCTCTAGTTGTGTACACACTTTTTCCCAGCAGACCAACAAATTCTGCGCTTGCAATACACATCTAGTGAAAACTTAAAACAAATTAATCAACATGTTGGGCCGCAGCAGTGTAATTGCACGTAACTTCTCCCAATCGATGGTGCGCTATGGCGGCCATGGTGGTATTCCCGGTGAGGTAAGCAGCTATTGATCGAATGGCGTATTCGTCTTGTTACATAACTTGCACAAACGTAATCCTTAAGGAAAATCAAATGCTATCACATTGCATATGAATATTTCAATTATAGAACCTGCCCTTCAGCCTGCAGAACAAGTATAGGATCACAGCTTTGTTCACCGTCGGCTGCGTGTTGGGCTTTGGTGCGCCCTTCCTGATCGTTCGTCATCAGCTGTTGAAGAAGTAAGTGGCATCCGCAGCCCCGACAGCCGCAGCCACAACAAAAACAACGATCTGCATAAAATAAAAACGTGTAAGGTTAGTTTTTATTTACATTCCAATTTAATTTGTTTGAATATTTTTTAATCGTTGTGCATTGTTTTTGCAGATTACGTTGTTGTTTGTTGTAGCCGCCACATGTCGGTCAATGTGTTGCAGTTTTTACCTTTAAGTCAAAAGTTTAAACCGTAATAAAGTTACCCAAACCTGAAACACAATAGTGTTGGATGTTTTCCCTTAAGTATAAATATAAATATAAGTAGGCTTTGTTTAAGGCAGCGATACTGCTAGTATACATTTGAATTCATAGTTGACAGACATTATTCACATTTCGTGTTGAACGTATCGCATCAGTATAATTTCTAAAATATCAGAATTTATTTCTAAAAAGTTTATTTTTCGACTCATAAATATGTTTGCTCTACGCGCTGAGGTACGCAAATTATATGCGCCTCTCACTCGCCAAATGTCCGGATATCCCGGTGGCGTTCCAGGCTTGGTAAGCTAGTATATGTATATCTATATATACGATCTGCAACTGAGCCTCCTCCTATTGCAATAGAATCTGCCTTTTCGCCGGGCACTTGAGAATCCAGTGCGTTTAACTATATCTTGGTTAATTTTGGGCATTCTTGGGTTTGGTGCTCCATGGCTGGTTGTTCGTCATCAAATGCTGCGCAATGTCACAACTGAGCCGTAAGCTGAGCATTCAATAAATATTGTTAATAGTTTATTAATATTTTAAATTCTACAGCTCTGAATAGACTCTAGACATTATGAAATAATTATGTTCGGTGTTCCTTCAAAAGAATTAGCGGTTTATTTGAAACTACAAAAAAAAAAAAAAAACAGTTACTCCTTAACACATGCGTATTATAAATAAAAATGGAATTGCACATCTAACATTTTATTTCGTTTCAATTGGACAAATATAATTTAGACATAATTCTAAATTCAGTTATTGTCGATAAAGTTCAAAATAGATCACCTGTTACAGGTGACATGATGATCATAGAAATTCGTTAATTATTCACTGAGTCGGTTATTGCTCACAATTCTTCTCTGCCACCAAAATCGTATTCCTCCTGCACAGGCGCATCGTCACAATATTTGGCCTGAGTCGAGCAGATTTTGATATCCAAATCGTTGCCCAGCTCTTCCGCTTGGAAGGCTTTCAGAAATGCCTCTTCATTGTCATCGAGCACCTCTAGACAAAAGTGGCCCAGACTTTTGTTTAGATCACCATCCTGTACAAAATCAACAAGCGACGATTCTGGATTCATTTGGCCGTTGACTATCATTTTGAGTAGCGCAAATTTGCCATTGCTCTTATAGGTGGCCTTTAGATAGTCATCCATCTTGTCACCTGAAAATGGAGATGGTGATTATGATATCTATACATATGTATATCATAGGGGCTACTCACAGATCTTTTCCATTAGCTCCGTTAGAAACATTTCTGATTTAATGTAGCGCACGCGTTTGCTAATGGAATTGCCTTGGGCATCCAGTCGAAAGCCGCTTACGTCTACCATCTTGTTGGCATCCTCTTTCGCTATGGCATCCTCAAGCTCCTGCACCGTTGCCTTGCACACTGAGGGAAATCGGTTAGCAATTGCCAACAGGTTGTCTTGTCTCGTTCGCCTCACTTACCATGGCATTTAACTTCTTTTGATGTAAAGCTGTAGCTGTGCACTTGAGCAACGGCTAGCAACAGAAAGCAGCATAATATTAAGTCACTCATTGTATTCATAATTTATAACTATTTACAATTTACAATTTATTTCTAATTATTACTGTTCAACTGTTTAAACCACGTCAGCACAATTTAAACTGAGAGCTCCGAGTTGAATGATAATTGACAGGCCGACTCGCACTAATTGTGGCGACAGCTAAAGCGACGACAATCCCAGCAAAATGATTTAAGTTAGTACTTCAATGTTTTGCTAGCCGCTCGAATTTAGTAGATAAGAATAAACGCGGTTGCTACCTCTCTTCCAAAATTATCAACAATATAACAAGAGTTTAACAGTGGTGTTTACTGTAAAGCGGCATAATTGAACATTTTTCTAACCTGTTGTTAACAGCGAGCAGCTATTTTTAACAGAACTTCGGCAATACTAGATTCTTAAAAACATTAAATTAAAAAAAAATTATCTTGCATTTCTTTTTTATGAATTTGTAAATAAAATCTAGCTAAATTTAATTAAACACCTATGAGTGTGACATTCATTTAAATTTTAACAGCTACCACGCAGCTCTGTTTCTAATGTTAAATAACAGCACAGAAAAGTGATCAGCTGTCATTTAGTTTTGGTATTTTGCCAGTATTTTAATTCACACATTTAAATTGTTGGCGGTATGTGTTTGCTGGCGAAATTGTATTCTCTTGCATAATTTCTCTCTCCTAGGTTCTGCTGCGAGATTAAAGATAATATGTAGTATATGTTTGAAATGCGCAATGCTGATAACTCAAGGCTCAGTGTAAATAAAGTAACTCTCGCGAGCGGTTCATCGAGACGCTATTGAGGCAAATATTCAACAATTAGAAAATATAAAGTAAAGCAAGCCGAAATTGATGTAACTGTTGTTGTTGTTGTTGCTGCTGCTACTGTTGTTCCGGCCGGTTTCATTTGTTAGTGTAACATAACACTTAAAGCATTTTGTAAATTAATGCCCACGACACTCGCAATTCAGTATTAATTCCAATAATTTTTTATTAAACAATTTCGTTTCGAGATCACGTATAATTGGCGTTAATTGATCGTGTGTCTGCGCTCTGCTCTGTGTTTGTATCTGAAGACTGCGGCTGTGCAATGAGCATCGTAGACACAGAAGCACATTCTCTTCTCTCCTGTTGTTCAGTGCTTGTGTTCATTTAATTGATAAGAATAAGCATTTGTGTGCACAGTTCATTGTGGAATTGTATTTGCTTAGCTATATATTTAATGTGTGATAAGTCAATATGCAAATTAACGTAGGCAAGATTTCATAATTTATTTAAGAATGAATTTAAGTTTTTGCTATCAATTCATTTGCTTTCCTGATCTACAACCCATGTGCCCATGCGTCGACAGCTCTGACCCAAAACTCTGGGCAAATGCGATAAGCGTGCCCATTAAAGTCTTTTAAAATCAAATAAACATTAAATTCGCGTGAAAAGTGAGAAGAAACAAAAGTAAACAATTCACAGGCCCGTCAATTCTCCGCTGTCTGTTGCTGCTGATGCTGCTGCTGCTTTTGAACTTTAAGCTAAAAGTTCGTTGAAATATAATTGATTAAAATATACGAGTACATGAAGCACATATACGCTGGCGCCATCTATGAGCCGGTTGCGTAAACTGCCGACTACCGGCAATGCGGCACAGTTCATAGCAAGGCGATAATCAATTGAAAAGGTGACGACAGGTGGGAAAGGAAATGGATGAAATGAAATATCAGTTGCAGCTAAAACTGAAATCTGAAATACCTATGCCTATTTTATATAATAATACACACAGTTTTCTATAATGTTGGTATATGCATTTATATGTTACACTTTAATTCGTGTGTTATACCATCAAAACTGCCTTCGGCAATAGCACACTCTCCTATAACCGAAACCGCATCTTCCTGGTATGTACAACTGGCTTATTGGCGCATCTTGCGCTGCGAGATCTGACTCTGGTTTGCCCGGGTTTGTGGAGAGGATCTCATCTTGACTCACTTTCTGAACCTCCTGTACACCAGCTTGCTGAAGATCTACTGGCTGGATGGCAGCGTATACCAAAGTCAAAGACATGAGTATAGTAAGCACCAGGATGAGCTTCATGGTTGTTGTAGTTTTTGCTGAAATTTTCCTCAATCGGTATAACTTCTGACTTGTAGACAGCTTGGAGGCTGAACTGATTGTCGATAGTAAAGACAGTGAACCGAAGCCTTTTATACCTGAAACACAGATTTATCTCTATAAATATGTATGCATCCAGATAAGTCAGGGGGCTTTCAACAGAGTACTGATATTGCTGGTCAAATACGGAAAAATTAAACATTATTACATTATTTAATTTATTTAGCTGGTGTTGATCTGCTTATGTAGGTCATGAAATTTTCGGTATCTTAACTGGGATCTTATATTTCGGTATGTAGAAGGATACAACATTATTTCTTTCTTATCACCTGTCGCTTTTAGGAGGAGGAACATATTCAACAGTTTATAGCCTTCTTGATGTTTATCTATTGAGTTACGATTGAGTGTCTTTATAGATATGTATATCGGTTGGATTCCTGATCAAATCCATGTACAGAGACTTGAATACTTTAAGTTATCGAATATATTCAATATACTACAGATATATATAAATGTGAATACATATTTTATTCCAAGTAACTCAACGTCTACAAACACACACAGCCTTATCATTGCAATAGCCGCCGCTCTTTCCTAGGCCAATGCAATGCACAGCACAGGCCGAGTGATTCACACTGAAGCCGCTTAGCAGATCGCATGTGGCACGCTTTAGCCGACTGTGCGACTCCTGCTGAGTTGGTTCCACGGCCCCGGGCTCGCGTTCATCGAGTGAGTCCTGTGGCAAGGGTTGTGCCTGGGCGAAGTAGACCACGACAGCCAGGAGAACGCCTAGGTATACGATGAACTTCATGGTTGCTGCTAAATGCTCCAGATGGACTTTCGGCTGAGATACTATTGATGCTCATTGAGACTCGCACAGTCTTTTATATGCAGGAAAGCGCGACATTATCAAGGTTCTTAGCTGAGTTCAGCTCAGGGTGTTCCCGTATGGGGAAGTCTTGCAAAGGTACTTTATAAATTCATATTGCTTTGTGGAGTGTTGATAAGAGCATCTACATATATATGTGAATGTATGTATACATGCACATATTTATGTATGTATGCATATATAGTGAAGCGTAAACTTAACAAGATCTAGACTGTATAGAATATTTATCGAAATTTCGCTGAAGCGTGCAAAATTTCTTGTATAAAATAATTTATTATTCTTTTTAAGAACTGTGCAATTAATTTGGTTTGAGTTTGTTTTGCTTAGCACAAGATTGTTCTACTCGTTTAAGATTTGAAAAGAGCATATTGGTTGGCTGTGATATCTGTTTGTTGCAGAGACTTTGGGAATATACTCTCATCTATACCGGCGTCTTAGATTTTTGAGTGGAAATATAACTTTATTTTCTTATGAAATCTTTATTAAATCAAATCGGCAAAAATAAAAATACCCTCAATAGGGCAAGGTATATATAATATATATTACCGACAGCAAGATGGGTTTCATGGTTCCATTAGAGCCTTTCACATCCGCAAACGTTCTTACTGTATAAGCTGCTTTAGTTCTTGAACGAGTATCATGCAATCGTTTACATCCATATTCAACGAAATGCTTTGATTTTCCACTAAAATGTTTAATTGTTTTGCAAGTGCGCAGATTCCAATACCAAATCCAAATCAAATTGCGACTTCGATTGAGATTGCGATTTCGATTCTAATACTCAGCAGCTACAGCTACAGATACGGATACAGATACAGATACAGATTTAGCTGCAGATACAGCTATAAATGCGTAGCTATAACAAATCATTTCAGCCGAATTGTAGCTTCAAGAACACAAACAAACAAACCCAATAAATAAGAAGAAGCATCACAGAATGATTAGTTAAGTACACGAGCGGGCGTAATGTTTGTCTTGTCTCTGTATCTTTGTATCTGTAGCTGTATCTGCATCTGTATCTGTATCTGTTGCTGTTTCAATTTTGGGTCTTTTTTTTGTTGTTTGTGTGTATGTGTGTGTTCTGTTGATCAACATCGAAGTGGAGAGGGGGGACTATCAAATGCGTCTTCATCGTTGTCCATTGGACTGTGGCTATTATTATTATTGACACCGCTCGAGTGGTTTCTTCTTGTACCCCTTTATTGAATGGACTCCGTGTTACAGTCTCTGCCTCTGCCTCTGTGTGTGTGTGTGTGTTTACCTTTGTTATCGATGTTGGTGTATTGAATTTGGCGTCATACTGTCTGCCAGTCGCTGTCTGAGCCTACCAATGCACACACACACACACACACACGCACACACACACTTCGATATCTATAGCATGTTCGGCTGGCCATAAAAGAAGACCACAAAAAAAGACTACACAATGGACTGAAGGGGGCAGAGAGCGGGTCAGAGGCAAGGGCCGCTGCTTTTGCCGTCACACTGTCTGGCAGGTTTCACACACACACGCACACGCACACAGTGACAGGTACATGGACATGGGCACCGTCACCGGCCGGCGGGGCAGCAACAGCAGCAGAAGCGGCAGCGGCAGCGGCAGCGGCAGCGGCAGCAGCAGCTCTATAAATCACAGACGTGCGACTGACTGCCTGGCAGGCAGGAGAGGCAGGAGCTCTGTGTGTCTCAGACCCAGTCTCAAGCCCAGTCCCAGTCCCAGTCCCAGTTGCAAGTACATAGCTCACGTTTTTCATTTTCTTCTCCTTTTATTTAACTTCGGCTTTTCGTTTTTTTTTTTTTTCGCCTTTACCTTTGCTTGGGCCACAGCTGGTTCAGAGATCGCGTCGCTGATCCCACCAACTGGCAGTGGCTTCTTTTTGTTTTAGGCTCTTTGGCTGAGGCGAAAACCTCTTCAGATATACAAAGGAAGATAAATTTCACACTCGCACACACATGCAGAGAGAGTGAGAGAGGATCGCTGTGCCTTTATGCTAAGCGCTCGCTGTCCAGGCCAGGCCAGGCCAGGCCAGACCGGACCAGTATAAGCAGGCATAAAGATAAGATATGGCAGTAGACACTGCCAGACATTGTGGCGACATCGACGATATTGTCGATGCGAGGCCCAATGCGGCTGACCAATGCCTCGCGTATATGTTGCTCTCTCGCTCAGCTGGCATTTGGCTATCCCTTTCGCAGTGCGCGCGCTCTGTCTCTTTTGCGCGCATACGCGTGTGCAAGACACGCTCGCTCGCCCCCTCTCTCTCCCACTCTCAGTCTCTCACTCGCTCGGTCTGTGGCGAGGGCCACTTTAGGCCACATACATATACATATATATATGTATATGTATATATGTATATATTCCCGACTATACTCCTATTGAACTGCTTGCGTTTCAGTCGTATTTGAAACTTGGCGACGCACGGTTTGGTTTTTCACTTTTTGTCAGTTTTAGTCTCGCGCTCTGCGGCTCGATTTTTCACTCTGTGTATAATTTTTGCGCAAATACAAACAAGCAAACAGCAAACAGCAAACAGTAAACAGTAAACAGCAAACAAACAACAAACAAACAAGCAGCAGCAGCCACAACAACAACAACAACAACAATAGCTATAGCTTTCATAAGTTCATATAAAGCTAAAATACATCGAGCACTCGGCCATCGATATACATATACATATACATATATATATTTATATCTAGAGTATAGACATATGCGTAACATCCAATCTCTATCAACCGAATTGGCCAAGATTTGAGCCAAAAATAGCCCGCCGGATATCGATAAACAAATAATATATAAAGCAGACAACAATTTCTAACAGAAGCCAACGCGAATTGCGAATTTGTGCAAAAAGTTTGAAATATCTGAGAAATATATGTATATATATTTTATATACCATATACATAGGTATATATAATGCAATAATCAGCTTGTGCTTGTGCCGTTAATAAATTACCAAATTCTATTGACACTTGAATTAAAAATCTGATGAAAATGTTTATCAAATGCTTAAGCATTACATTTTGTGTGCTGCTCGCGCAGCTGATGGTCGAGAGCTTGGAGCAGCAGCAGCAGGAGCAGCAGCATCCACAGGAGACGCGACTTGATCTGCCCGTAAGTTAACCGAGAGCGTGTAAATCCCAAGAAAACACTTGAATATTCCAGGTATTGAGAGAGTAGAGCAAACTGTGATTGAGCCTGATTGCTACAAATTGTCTGCACAGTCGGACTTTGACTTTTTAGCCAGCTTTTGTTCCTCTCTTCTTCTTCTTCTTTTTTTTTTTTGCACCTTCTTTTTGTATTATTTTTGTATTTTATTTTTAAGTTGAAGAGCTGCCGCCGCGCTGTCTGCGATTTCTGCTTTGCCGGCAAATACCCTCGCCCCCAGCCACAGTCCCCTAGCCCTCAGCACCAGGCCCCTTGCCGTTCCTCAAGTCTGCGCGCAGCTCCTGCTCGGCTTTGGCTTTGGCTTTGTTTTTGTTTCATCTGGCCGACGAACGTGTTTTGTTGTTCTCTTGCCTCTTGCTTTTTTTTTTTTTTTTTTTTTTTTTTTTGAGGAGCAGCAAAAGAATCGGCACAAAAAGTGCTGAGATGTAAAATATATAAAAATGGTCACAAGTCAAAAGCGTTTTGGCCAGGTAGGAATAGACTGTGCGAGAGAGAGAGAGAAAGGTAGTGGGAGCGAGAGAGTGGGCAGGGAAGGGGAGGCAGATGGTCCATTGGCCATTGGCAGTGTCCAGTTCCATTGGCACTAAGCTGCCCGCTCAGCCTGATGATGACAAAGTGTGAAGCCGTATTTCAAGTGCTGTTCTCATTCTCACCCCGAACTCTCCCTGCCCGCCGCCACGAGCTCCACTGCGAGCGTGAGAACTGTCAGTCAATAATTGTTGTTTTTTTCTCTCTTTTTTTTTTTTTTTTTTTTTTTTGTGTCGTTATCGAACATAATAATCCTTGAGCTGTCGCCATATATAAAAATGATATATTTATATATATATGCAGGGTATTTTAGACTCATATACATCTTCACATTATGGCTGGCACGTTGCTGAATAACGCCCTTTTTTGCATAGGAAACAGAAAGAAATGCCATTTGCATTGACAATTAGACAATTGGCGCCCCGCATTTGGACGAATTCATAAGTTAATACAGATGAGCTAGAGACAGTCTCGTATATCATTCCTCGCTACTCGCCTTACGACATCTGCGCTGAGCTAGCACTATTTGCATATGGTATATAGAATATAAGTATATATGAATATATACATTTCTATATTGTATGAATTTCATGTTTATCCATGTGTCTAAGGCAATTCAAAACGGCGACTCACCTGTTCACGATCGATTCGATTACAGCGCGATGCCAGCGCGTGCTCCAAAAATCAAATAGAACCCGGAGAGCCAATACAAAATGGCTACGCCTCTGCCCTAACTGACATTGTGTATGTGTGTGTGTGTGTGTGTGTGGTCATATACCTGATAAGAAGTCATTGTTGTACAATTGTATAACATTCCTCTTTTTGGGCTACTGGTATTGAGTTTCCATTCTTCAAATATGGGACTTACAAATGATAATTGTTATACATTCTTTTTATGGCTGTTCGCTCCATTGTCGAAGAGTTTGTTGAGTAAGAATTTTGGGTTATTGTGGAACGAGAGCAGCTCAATTGGTGTTTATTGAAAGCTATTGAGTTGAGGGTATACGAAATGGAACTCGTGTAAATAAGACATTATTGAATAGTTAAGCTGAGGAACGTGGAATGAAACAAATGCAAGCAGCTCGGACTCACATGTTGACTTCTTTGAAAGCAGCTTTAATGATATCTTATAAGCCTAGGAATATGGCATGGAACTAAATCGGACTGAATATACCCGTCTAAAAACGTGGAATGAAACATTTAAAGCAAGCTAGACAGACATTCTAATTAGTTAAAGTAAGCTTCAGTAACTTGGCCATATTTTAGCTATTATAATACAAAAGTGTTAGAACATGGACTGAAACATTGTAACTAAGCTCTAATAGCTACTATAAAAAGTTTTAAAAATATACACGTTTTTTTTAAATTACGGCCGCTTTTATTATAATTGATGAGCTCAGGAACATGAATTGGAACATTTGAACTGAAGCTTTAAAAGCAATTAAGATGAAACTAAAGTAAGCGATTTTATGATGCAAATATTGCAAACTCTAAGGTGCTAAACCAGTTGTAGAATTTTATATTTAATAAAAAATAATAATTGTGTCTAAGAACTTTTCCAATGTGCACATAAAAGTTGTTGAAATACGAGCACTTCGATGTCATCTAATAATTTGCAATCATAGTAGAAATATCTTGTGCAGCTATACAACTCTATTTCGCACGGCTCTTGAGCGCAGCTTGTAACTAATTAGTGTCAAGAAAATTGTTGTAGTTTATCTAAAGAGCAGCAAATCGACGATAAAAAGTGGTAGTCGCTTTTAGTCAGAAGTAAACGACTGGCAGATACCCTGTGCGATTAGCGTAATAGCTGAGATGAGTCATGGTGTATGATATATGGGTAAGAAAAGGTTCCACAGACGAATGCGCAGATGGACAGGCAGACGAGTGGTACAGAGAGACAATCAGAAAGAGAAACAAAGAAGGAATCGATCCGACGGTTATATAAAGTGAAGATGAATTGTCTGATAGAGAGATAGATAATATATAGATAATATAATATTTGGTCCGACGAGCAGGCAGATAGACAACGGATATAAGGCGTAACGGATATATGCAACAAGGGACTATCAAAATCATAATCAGCCACGCACCTTGGTCCGCCTGTTACACAAATTTGCATATAGTCGGGTATATCATGCCCGTAATTCGCATTTTCAATAGGGTATACAAAAGCTGCTGCAATGACAAAACCCAAGCGCTACGCAATTGCAAGGGGAGGCGATGTGTGGGGGCCAAATTAGTAATTTTTTTATACGCTCGTTATTATTTGGAGTAAACTAGAATTACGCGTAGTCAGCTCGAAAAAAGTTTTTTAAAAATTTTTTTTTCAGCTTCAAGTGGTTAGCCAGTTGGTCTGGCCATAATATTTGGCCAGACATTCAAATGGTGGCAGCCACTGAGATGCCATATTCAAGTTATATGGCTTGAATCAGTTTGATTTTCAGTGCTCTTGCACCGTGCCCCGCGAGCGATCCCAGCCCGGCCAACTGATTCGTATGCAAGACTTGATTTTGGCGACCATAAATGTAATAAATCATTTAACGCGTGCTTGATATTATTATTTATAACTGCCTATCTCTCTCTGTATATATTTATATATACATATATGTATCTTAACGTATTTTGGCGTGTAAGTCGCATAGTAAAGCAAATATTTTACTCACACCTTCACTTCCCTCACACCTTTTTGCCAGCTGTCGCAGTCGCTGTCCGAGTGCGCCGCCAAGCAAGGCGAATGCGACGAGAGCGAAATGGAGCCTGTTTGTGGCACAGACGATCAGACCTATCCCACACGCTGTCACCTGCTGCGGGTGCAGTGCAGCGGCCATCAGGTTAGCCTTAAGCATCGCGGCAATTGCAAAGGTAAGATCTCGAGATTTAGTTGGGAATTCCCTAACATCTCTCTCTCTCTCTCTGTGTCTACACCTTTAGGCTGCCTGGTGGCACGTCAATATGCTAGGCGCGAGCGTGAACGCAATCCGAAAATATTCTTTCCGCGTTGCCGCAGCGACGGCAACTATGCAGCCGTACAGTGCCTGGGCGACACCGGCTGCTGGTGCAGCGACAGCAGCGGTAATCCCATTAAGAACACATCGACGCGCCGCAGCCGACCGAAGTGCAGCGCCTTCAGGCGCAGCAATCGTCGGCGATCGCCTCAGCGTCAGCTCAACTCGGATGCGGATAGCCGTGAAGCTGGCAACGGACACCGGGCGTGCAGCAAAACGGATCGGCAGGCATTCAATAGTCACTTAATCGAATTGCTGCGCAGCGAGCACGCCAGATCCGGCCAGACGTTGCCAGCCGGTGGCTTGAGCGATGCGGCTATACTGGATTGGAAGTTTGCCCAAATGGATGGGAATGCCAATCAGTTGCTGGACAGGCAAGAAGTGCGTGAGCTCAAGAAGCTTGTCAAGCGGGTGAGTAGCTATTGCTGTAGCTGTCCATGTCACTCAGTCAACCACAATATAACTCGAAACTCGAAACACTCTATTTTGTATGCACACACACACACACACACACCTATACACATATGCAGTTGGTTAAGCCCAGACGTTGTGGACGTGCCTTTGGCAAATACTGTGATGTCAACAGAGACGATAGCCTGTCGCGTCTGGAGTGGAGCAGCTGCCTGACCAAAGATGCCAGTCAACGTAAGTAGCTCTTTAAATATAATATAGAATACTTAACTGCATGGGTAGTATATGAGAATCACAGAGAGAGGCAATGCATGATATCAACTGTAGACTAAGTATTGCATGGGCTATGTTTATACCTGGGAATATTGAGCTGTATAACTAAATGGAACAGTAACTTGACCTAGTAAGAATCACTGAGAAAGGCAATAGGGAAAACTAGTTCAGAAATTATGACTTAGGCTCATCCGTTTGCTTATCTATTCATATATCACAGCCTCCCAAGTGCAAATCACAGAGAAATGCAGTACTGCTTTCTGATAATCATAGAGAAAGCCATTAGTTTGTGCCTCTTAGATAAGCCAACATTATAAATTAGAACATTTAACAGCATACCTAACTAGGGGTAGTATTTTAACAATATAAGAATCACAGAGAGAGGCAGTGCATGATGTAGTCCTGTTGCATGAGTACCAAAATTTGTAATATTTACTTACCTTAACCATAAATGTTTATGTTGTGTGTGTTTCTCTGTTCTCTGTTTCTTGTTTCCATCTACCAAACCAAACAAAATTCCTGCCGCCCCCTCCATCTACAGGTAAAATGCTGACAAGCAGTCCAACGATCAGCTCCATTATATCGCCCACAATACCACGTCGCACGCATTATAACATACACCATACAAATATCAATCAAGATCATACAAACACGAATATAATCGGAGGCAATTCGCGTATCCATGAGCTGGGCAATGGAAGCGAGGAGCACGACGATGATGACTATACGGGCGAGGTTGAGGACTCAAGCATGACACAATATTCACATCGCATATCGCCAGTTAATTGTACGTACCTCTGGGGCTACGAGACTAACGAATTTATTTTTGAATAATACATCCAAGTAACATCCAATAGCACTTGGCATGCTTTCAAAGGGCAGTATCGAGTCTATTCTAATGGGCCTTTCGTTCACAGTTCTGATGGACAAAACAGCTGAGACAACGAACAACGACAGCGAAGTCGATGCCAACTGCTGGACAGATCGAGCAGTGGCACGTGAGGAGCAGCGCGTAAGTCCAATCGGATCCAACTTTCTCCTGCCCAATCGCCCAATATCCATGCAACGATGTTAACTTGAAAACATTTTCAGCATGACGGCAACAGATCGTTCTACGTGCCCGAATGCATGCCCGATGGTCGCTATAAGCGGGTTCAGTGCTACAGCTCCATCTGCTGGTGTGTCAACGAGGAGACGGGCAAGAATATTCCCGGCACCTTCGGTCAGACGAGGCCCCAGTGTGATGAGGTCAGCGCCGTGCGACCCATGAAAGGCTGCACCGAGCCACGAAAAACGCAATTTCTCAAAGAACTCAAAGCGTTTTTCAACACTCAAATATTACCAAGCAGTAATTCGGGGTAAGTTGATATATTAAATGCATATGCCTCCAATGACTAAGTCAACTATATATGAAATTTAGCAACTCGACCTTGTGGAAGTCAGAGGATGAACGCATTGCCACGCTGAGTTTTGTTTTTCTGGACAAAAACAAAAACAAGTCGTGGGAGCGCAAAGAGTGGAAAGTCTTTCGGGATCTGGTCACCAGATCCAGGTGTGTAACTTTAGTACCTTTTTTTTTTTAAATAAAAACGTCTTTTGCAGCAATTTAAGCAAATGTGGCAAAAAATTGCCACGCTACTGTGATGCGAATGACGATAAGATAATCTCGTTGTCCGAGTGGTTGAACTGTCTGCAATCGCAGCGAGCAGAGAGCACCACGACTGTCAAGCCGACACAGTCAAGTGAGTGTAGATTACCTCATATATACAACAATTTCATGCTAATTCTTCCTCTGTCCTCTTCTCACTCTTTCTCTTTTAGACGAGACGGCTACGTCGAGGCTCCTGGGATCAAATCCGTTGGAGCAATATCTTAAAGATTAGTTTTTTATAATGATGAACGTTGCTTGTTTTTGGGCTGCTACTCATTAGATGTCGTGCCATGTTGCGAGGAAGTGCTTGAATATATTCACTCACTCATACACACACACACAAACACATACACATACACACTCACACTCACCCGCACACACACTCACATTCCTAGCATATAGATTCTACGATTCACATATGTATGTAATTAGTGTTGTAAATATTAATGAATATAAATGTTTAGGTTAATTGTAATGAAAAACTGATCACAAAATGATCAAACTTAAAATATTTGAATATTTTTTCATTGGCGCGCTTACTATTGCAGCCAACTTCACGGCGTGCCAAGCAAACGTGCGCTTACAATCCCACCACGCTCAAATTTGCGTCGCTTAAGGTCGGCTGCGCACGCATTTTACTGCTCCACTGCAGCCCGCCAATAAGTTTATCGATAAGCATTTCAGTTTAGTTAAAACCGTAAAATCGCGTGTTTCACTTTATTTGGTTAGCAATATAACACTAAATAATTATATATTTATATACATAGACTTGAATATCGATAAACCTGGGTACGTTTCGTGAATTATATACATACTTAATAGTATACTAAATGCATCAATTGTTCACAGAACAGAGCAAGAGTTGCTTACAAAATTAGGTAGTTTTTGGTTTTCTTAATAACAAACTTGACAAATTGCTGTATGGCAACTCGAATGCCATTGAAAAAACAATGGACGCCAGGTAGACAATCAATGTAAATCCGCAACAAATAATGCACTGAAATAAACAAATGCTTATTATAAGAAAATATAGATTCATTAACCTACATACCAGCATAATGGGGTCGGCATGCGTGCTGGAGCTACTGAGACCGTAGATCAGGGATATTATCAAAGGATTGAGCAAGTAGAAGGCGTAGGATACACGATTCAAATGCTGAAAGCAGCGTGCTTCCAGCAGACGAGACCACCAAACGCCCCGACCCGTTGCACTGCCCACAATCATCCAGCAAACACTCAACGAGAAGCAAATCCGACCCAAGGCGAACAAAACAATGGTTATCATGTATCCCAAGTCCCGTTTGATTGTCGAGTGGATGCAGATCACAAAGACAAGCAGGCAGAAGTGCCATAGCCAACGTTGTTGCCCCTCACTCAACTGATAACTGACACGGCGCTCTGCCAGGCAGAAGGCTACTATGGAGCCCACAATATAGGGCAGCACGCGCACAATGGGATTTATATAGATCTGTGAGCTGGTGCCATAGACTATGTCAAAGGAGAACTCAAAGTTGCTCTTGATGCCAATGCCAAAGGACCACACAATATTGGCCACGAGTCCAGCGAGAGTCAGCAACTTCGCCGACTTGGGATGCCTGCAAAGCAAATGAGTTTAATAGAGCGCACACAATCGAGATCGTGATCAACTCACTTGACATATAGAAACAAAATGGCATTTGCAATTAAAAAGAATTGCATATCACACGCCATGCTCCAGCTCCAATTCAGGCATAGATCATTGAAATCATAGAAGTTCTGTATGAAGAGCAAATTGCGCCACCAATGCTGACTGCAGATCTCATCGAAACGTTCATTGATGTGATAGACCGAGGTGTCGCCAATGTAGGCAAAAACCAAATCCACGCTGCCCATGACAATCAGATAGAGCGGTACAAGTCTTAAATAACGATGAAACAGTAACTTGCAAAAGAGCTTCACATTGGCTATAGAACCATTATCACGTATTGCCTGCAATTGCTTTGTATTGCGTAAAAAGTTGTACGTCTGCAAAAAACCACTGTGAAGAAGAAGAAAAATTTAGCAAAATAAGGCAGATTAACACAGCATGTTCAAATTCAAAAATCTTATTAGCTTCCTCATGTGCTGAACTAGGATATAAGACAAAACTAGAACTTCCCATTCATAATTGGTTCATTTGATGTCAGACTCAGATAACTGACTACTCTCCTTTAAAACTTATTTTAATTATTTTTTAATACTGGAATACGTCCGTTGAAGGACAGCTGGACAATAAATTCAATATATAATATTTCTGTGGCAAGAAAACATTTTTTTAATTAAATACAAGTGCAAGTTAATGTAAGCAGATAACACCTAAACTGATATTGTTTTAACAAGTTGAAGGACAGCCGTTCAATGAATTTAGTAGAAAATATTTTTCGAGGAAAAAGACAACATAATAATATAAAGCGTATATAGAGTTCAAGTTTAAGTAAGTTCAGATAATAAGACTATTTAAGTGAAAAACAACTATGCCAAAGATACAGGACTCAAAAACTACCTTTCAAACATTTAGTTTATCATATTTAAATCCCTGACAATTTTAGATGCGAATTCAGCACTTCGAAAACTTATCCGAAAAATTGTATTTTTCAATTCATAAGCAATTCCTTCACTCACCTGATGGTAAAGAAGACATCCACCAACAAGGGAGCCGATGATATGTACTGAAAGAAGATCTGCTCGCCATAGGCCAGGAGCGTCGCTTTGTTGTGCACCGTGAAGTACATGAACCACATCACATGGAAGATCAATATGCCGACAGCGCACACAGAGCGTAGTCCATTGAGCAGTGGGATCTCCGAGGAGCTGTTCTCACGCGTGGCAACGATGCGCCGCCAATTGTTGGCCACATCGTAGCAGCTGACGAAGCTCTGCACGGGACGCCACTTGAGCAGAAAATGCAAAGCTCGCCAGATTTCCGATTCGACGGGTGCGAGGCCAGCGCCATCCACATGCCCGTCCGCTGGCAGCTGTTTGGCCACGCTCAGCTGCTGGGCGCAGAGCATGAAGGCACAAGTGGCCAACACGAAGCCCACGACAAGCTTGAAGCTCAGCCGGTTGTAGAATACGTCTCTCAGCTTCAGGTCCTTAACGTAGAGCACCTCGGGCTGCATTTCGAAGATGTCGCTGTCCTTGAAGCTGCCCGCCATATAGTCGCTGGTCAACTGTTGTATCTCGCTCGACTTGCACGAGCTGGGCAAACAGAGACCGATGTGTATTATTTGCTCGGACATCAGCTTCAGCTCCACCTGCCAAGGTGAATTGTGTCGCAAATAGATGACGCGATAGTCCATATCAAAGGGCGACTGCTGTGTAATTAATCCGTTATGCATTTGACGCTTGTACTGCTTGGACAGCGTTATGCCCAGAGGTCGCTGCATGCTGCCGCAAGCCTCTCGACTGCCCAGCCAATAGTTTTGGCCAAATATAAAACCCGACGGTTTGCCACCCGAAGCATCGAGCACTGTACAGCAAAAAGTAAAAGGTAAGCTCTTATACCGTTATGAGGGTACTCGTTCAGTAATCAATAAGTAATCATCACCTTTTAGAGCCCAAGGCTGTTTGTTGAGGATGCTGCGCTGCACGTGCTTCAATTGTGCATGGCAAATGGGATTCACATTGCTCGCATTGGCCACTTCTGTCAATCCGTAGATGATGGAGCTCTGAGCGAGCAGTGCTTCGTGTCTGTCTGTCTTGGCTCCATCATCATCATTCTCGACTTCATTTGCATTCGCTGTCACAGTCACTTCCAAGTCCTTGTTGGACCAGATATTGCTGCCATTAAGAATCGCATGATCAAACGTCTGCAACTGCAGCGTCGACTCATTCTGTATGCCAACACAACTCCCCAGCAGGAGACTGAGCCAGAGGGCTGTGGATGCTATACCATATCCGTATCGTGGCATATCTAACTGTAAGCAAAACTCAAATGAATTAGTTGCATTGTCAATGCTATATGAATATGCTTGAGTGTTCACTTAACAAGTGTGCAAATACAATTAGTGACTGGCTGTAGAGCAATGCAGCAATACGGCAATCAATACATACGTAGTCATACCGCATTCACAATACTTCCCCCAGCGGAACTCTATTTGAGTAGCTTTCCAGGCTTATCCAAGAGATATCTGAATTTAACAAATAGCCTGTTCATTAGCTGTTAATGACAATGAGCCATAGATCACAGCGCCGCTACCTCGGCCACAAGCAAATCAAGTTCAAATATCAATTACTTTTTGGGCATATCGTAAGTGCGGTTCAATGTCACCCCATGGCATACATATATACATCCATAGCTAACAAATACATAAAATACACACAACAAGTGAAAAAACAATTAAAGTCTCAAGTCACCTGAAGGTTTATTGGGGCGTCAGTCAATTACGAACTTGCCAATAATATCACCTCCAAAGCCCTCTTGCAATTCGTTCCATAATAAACCTAATTGCTCTACGAAGGTTTTTCTTTATATAGTTTAAAATGTAAACAGGGCATAGCTCGTGACTAAGATAACTTCTTTTTGCTAAGATTTAAAATTGTTTTTGCGAGATTTAAAATTGTTTTACATAAAACTGAAATTCTACCTAGCAGACATCTAGCTGACTGTTATGATATATTTCCTTGCCGTCATGTTTGCCTAGCTGACAGCAGCTGACTGTTATACTTTTCCTTGTCAGCGCAGCTTGAATGATATCCAGCTGACTGCTATAATTGCATTTTCTTAAAATTTAGTCTTGCATTATCAATGCAATACAAATGATTAATGAGAACTTTAAATGGCCTATATTAGGTTGTATGATCTAAGACTCCTTTACGCTATCTATTTATGATCAAATGAAGTTTATTTACTTTTCTATGTTCTCTGTGGTCTACAACTACTTTGCCTGCGTATTATTAGCCGTATGATCGAACTATAAATTTTTGCCAGCTTATTCTCTATTTGCTTTTGCATTATCAATTGTGAATTATGTTTAGCGTTGGGTAAATACGCGTCTTTTCAGGAAGACTTATAAATATTTACACAGTTGTTCAACGAAATCAAATGCGGCAACTGCGGAGACATTCGTTCAAATGAAGCCCTGCGGCCTCAGCAAACAGTGCGACATGTGCAAAAAATCTGAAAACCAAATTCAATTCATAAAAAACATACTTAAAAAACATACTCCTTATATATAGAGTTGTCTGACATAGTTTTTTTGTTTTGTTTTTTTCTGTAAGCCCCTTTCGATAGCTGGTTAGTTAATTGCTCTTCGATGAAACCATTTCAAGGGCAAACCCGCCTTTGGGTTTTGCATCTCTTTTTTGTTATACTTTTGTTGTTGTTGTGCTTCCCACTCTTCTTCTTCTTCTTCTTCTTCTTCTTATTCAGTTTTTGGTTATATACAATGCAAATCAGCCGGTACCTTCACCTTTAGTGGGATCCGTTTCCATAATGCCCATTTTTGGCAACATATATAAAAAAAAAAAAAACTGAAGATGTTGCAACCCAATACATTTGGCAGCTAACTCATTTCATTTCGAGTTTGATGATTGCGTTTGGGTGTTAATATAATGAAAATGTTATACAGCCAGTTGGCTGTTCGTGGGTTTGGATGTCTTACTCTATAAATATTATTATTATTATTATGGATTGAAGTCAATGAGCTTTTTTGACCTAAGTCAATATGTAGTCAAAGATGCTTGTCCAAGTGCTGTGGATATTTCAACATGTGTGTTGGAACGGCTATTGCGACA